TTCGCGGCGATTCTTCACCAAACTGAACAGCCACCTATCAGTTTTCAAACAATGCCTTTCTTTACTTCCATGATCAGACACAGAGATGGGTGTAGCTGTTGCGACAAGCTCAGCCTAATGATAAAGTTGCATTCGTACTAAGAAGCAAAATAAAAGCTCCTGCCATAATTGGGTCTTCTGCCCCAACAAAAAAATGGACTGCACGCCGTCTAGTATGACCAATTCGATCTGGACCTGCTCTGCGAGGACGAAAGCCTAGACGAAACAGGACAATCTTAACTACAAAGAGTTGAGGGATAGCTGGGTGGTGTGAAGTAATCAGGTCTAGAACTATTACGGGAGGTCAGCGGAGAAGATACCTCGATGGTGCAGAGTTTCAAATAGCAGTCAGGATTTCGGTAAGGGTGAGATGTAACATATGTGACTTTTAAGGGGCCTGCATGTATATGTATATATATATATCCTGTGCTTGAGCTACGTTGGGTTTGGAAAAATGAGGACGAATCTCAGGCGTAATGTTCTATCCTGCTCTGCCGTACTGGATTGTTATGGCTTAACGGCTTTGGTGGTCTACGTTTCTACTGAATCGTCGGCNTTGGGATCTGAAAATAGTTCGAAGCTACTAATCTGTGACTTACCCGACCAAGCGCCCAAAGGCGCTAGGCTAGTTGCAACAACTCCTGGAAACTCGAACTTCGAAAAGTTCCCAGGAAAGCGGCCAACCACTTACGTGGTCCTCAAGCGTTACGTTCTGTCTGTTATGTGAAGAATAAGGGATTATTGAGACACCATTCATGATCGTAAAACGAGAATTACGTGGGTGATCTCAAAGAAGGGAATGAACGGTGAGAGTTTACTTGTTATATCCAAGCACTCATACGCCCGTGCGCCGAGCATCCTTCCCATCTCACCAATATATATCTCTAATATATCTCGTCACATGCTGAACACTGAAGTTGATTAACCGTCCCTCGCTGTGTTCAATCTCCGTCTTTTCCAAACGAACAAATGACGCGGTTATCTCTAGGACATGCACGGTCGTAAAGCCTAGTGCGGATCAGTTGATTTGCCTAGCGCGACCTACCCGACCTAACGTGTAGGCGCCAGGTCGGGTAAGTCAAAGATCAGGAGCTTCGAACTATTTTTAGGTTCTGAAAACGACGAGTCAGTCGAAACGTTTCCAAGAAGGCGGTGCAGCCATAACAAACCTGTACGGCAAAGCAGTACAGAACATTATGAAAAGCGTTCAGGGTTCAAGAAGACCGAACATGGAATTCTGATGTCTCTGAAAATCAGATATTAATAAGAATAAGAAGAGCAGTTATAAACCAGTTATAGTTATAGTTATAAAGTTATAAAACACTGTAACAATATTAAATTCAAAGAAAATAGCAGGTTTTATCAAAACATAACGGTATGTGTACTGGTCAACAGAAAGGCAGCATTGGGACATCAAATCAGAAGTTTGACGGCACCATTCCTCAGTTAGCAAAGTTTAACACTGATCAGGACTGATAGGACACTTGTAGTTCTACGCCACGGATCTCCTCCAGTGAGAGTTCTTTCTCTATAACGGATCTGCATCCGGGTAGTGAAGAGGCTGCGTGGCGCAACAGTATGTGGAGGATAGAGAAGTAAGCCGCATATCGAAAGTCACTGGCACCTGCCCAGAGATGCAGGTGGATTAAGGGGGATGTAAACCCTGTTTCTACTTTGCTGGGTCGATATACCATCTTTATCTTAGCAAGTATATTCATGCATGCGGGGGGAGGCTGCGGGCGAGGTTGGTATCCTGCACATAGGCTCAGACAAAAGATTGTATATCAGTGACTGGGAAGAGTCCGGGAGGTGATTGTTGAGCGCCTCCAAAACCTAGACTCCCTATCCACTTTGGTTAAGACTGGTTAGCTACCCGGATTCACCCTCCATACGTCTGGAATTGGCAAATTACTCGAGGTGCCACAACAGTAACATATATGAGCCTTATTCCCCTGAACCTGAGGTAGTCTCCAATACGGCAGCGTTGGGTAGAACCGCTCGGGCAAGGCTGCTAAAATCTTAGGACCAAAGCGAGCTGCCTAACAGGAGAAGAACCCGGGTGGTGATCAGTACTTTCAAAGCACAAACGTTTGCATTGGAAGCTCGCACTGAAGATAGATGATGCAAGCTAGAAAGGACAATCACGACGTCATCGTACTAAACGATATGAGGAGGCGTCGCCTGCTGCACGTTGCATATCAGAAGTGCTATTTTTTGGAACATGCGACAGCTGAGACACGGCAGAGTGGGTGTCCTCATAAATACAACTCGGCCATGAAGGTCAATTTGTAAGAAAGCTGAACAACCGAATTGGGCGCTTGCAATTGAGAAAATGTGACTCAACTCCAGTTCTATCATTACTCATTGCCTATGCAGCAACATCAATATACGAAGAGAAGGAGCTGGACGAGTCATATATGGGCCTGAAAAGACTCTTTGGAGACGACCACACTTTCTTCAGAGTCATCGTTGGTGATTTCAACTCCAAAATCGCTACTAGGAAAACGGCTGAGGAGCTACATATAGAAACCTACGGAGCGGTTGGAATGAGCAGTGTGAAAGACTATCCGAGTTTATCTTGTCAATTGAAACCATCCATGGTGATTCACAGCTCGAGAAGCTCCCTCATTTGCAATGGACATGGAAGTCATCTGTTAGACAGTTTCATGTTGAAAACGAGCACATCACTTCCAATTAGAAGTTTTGCCTGATTGAAGTGTTTTTCCTGCAAGAGCAGCAGTTAAGGCCGAAGCCGCCAAGGGCGGGAAGAATGTTTGCAAAGCCTGTAGGAGGGTTTCGCGAACTGCAACACCATGATGACTTCTTTCGTCGTCCTGATCGAACAGTTACTGCATTTAAGGAGGAATGGAAAAGGTCATCACTTCTTTGACGGACTCCTCCTGATTACCTACCCACTTTGATAAGGAATTGTGTGGCCCCGGTCTGTAAGATCAAACCAAAGCATCAAAAGGGCACTCCACCAAATATCGTCATGACTCCAGCCAGGTTCTTCACGCGATACCTGTCGAAATGCAATGCGTCCACGTCGTAGCAAACTATCAAGTCTACGTTGCTGTATAAGAGGGAGCTCCAGACGATATTGGTCCTTTCCATCCGATCTGTTTGCTGTCCGTATTCTACTGACTTCCCATCTAGCTTTAACAGAATCGGCAGAATGTTAGATGAAGGACAGTCATACAAGCGAGCAGGGTTTCGCAGAGGGTTCAATACAATCGATCACATGCACGTTGCCACAGGTTTCATTAAAGTATCGCAAGAATACAGGATGCTGCTATATATGACGCTCATCGATCGGGAAAGGCTTAAACACCGTCGAGACAGAAGCGGTAATTGTGCAACCACGGTGCTACTACTCAAAATATAAGGATGCCTCGTTATCCCTACGACAACTGCACAACCGAGATTTCGCCATTCTGTAAATAAGTGGTTGAAGAGGGCGGAAGGATATATCTCGCTCGAACTGTTCAGTAGAATTACATGTGCACTTGGATTGGGAAGACATAGAAGTTAAGGTCGACGGCTTCTACTCACACCATCTCCACTTTGCTGACGAACTTCTGCCTATAACACTGAACACTGAGCAGACGGAACAAATGTTTGCTGGATCTATCAGTGCTCGTAGAGAGATCGACTGAAGATAGAACTCAAAGGAGGCGATGTTCTCACAAACGCATTGGTACCTGATGCTTCCTTAATGCTAAATGGAACGAATTCCTCTGAATGCAGAGTATCATGCGCCACACGGAATGGGTCGAGAAGTCAACATGGCAGACGACCTTGCTTTGGAGCTGAGCAGAAGGAAATGCGCGAAAAACATCTAAGCGTGTGGGGGAGTAGCGAAAAATATAAAGAACATGCGGTTCCGTGCTCACCTTTCCGACACTGCTGTCCTTCTTGCTTTGAGGTATGCCTACGAGAGTTGGACTCTACGAAAGTAGGATAAAAATGTTATCAACGTCTCACAGCGAGCTTTGAAAACACTGCTCGGGATATCCATATTTGAGCAAGTGTAGAAGGGAATCCGAAGTTTCAGCCCAACGAGCGAAGGTCTAGGATGCCGTTGTATACGCCAAGAATTCGCCGATCAGGTAGGCCGTGCACGTTATGAGATATTTTGGTTAGTGGACGAGGTTTATGCGATCCGTCGGGACCTCAAACGAATGCCACGCCGCCAGCGCGATAGTCAGACTTGTTCACGAGAGTTTCGAACGAAAGAAATGTGTTGCCTCGTGACGGTCGAGCGATCCACTGGACTACGCTGACTCGTAGCATGGACGAATGGAGACGTGACTGGCGCCCACTCGAGGAAATCGATGGTCAACATGACGACAGGTTACTGAGGCGATAGTTTAGCGGTGAAACTGACGCAGTAGAACTCAGAGCCTACCAATCCAACTTATTAAGGCATACAGGTCTAATGAATATAGGGCCTTCACTGCGCCCTTTCTCTGGTATTTTTCTTGAACAAGCAGCTTTCGAGAAGGCCTCTTTTTGAGAACATGTAATTTGCATAATAATCTGAGTGAGTTGTGTTCTCATATAAAGAAAGATTTCAGGAATGATTGTGGCAGCGAGATCGGTAGCGGATGTCGTTAAATCTCACAAATGTCAATAAGTGGTTTGTCGCGCTCCTTCTCCGCAGGAATGGGCATAAAGCCTGGCACAGTTGAGGGGAGAGCTCATAGCTAAGAAACGAGTTTATCTTGAATTCCTGTTCTTCCATCTATTGTAATATGTAGCTAGGCAAGTCCAAGATTTTACCTTCTCTCCAATAATTGAACGGAAAAAGAATAATTCTGGCTCTACCTTGCCCGATAGGTTAAAAAAAATTAGACGGAAGTACAAATTCGCTATGCAGATAAGTGATTGAGACTGAAAGACGTTGGCTTTGACTTTCTCGGTTTACTGCAGCTGGCCTTGTAATGACATGAATCCAGCACTTACTTGATTTTACTCGCACTGCCGACCAATGGATGCACCGATCGCTCTGCGGACTCGATACTGTATAGGGGAGCGATTTTGTCGATTCCCCAGAAATCGTCTTTTTTCTGCGTAGGGATCTTTGCCAAGTTCTCCTCTACCATCGAATACCCAGTCTGAAAATCAGCTGTTAAAAGGATTGAAACAAAACATTACTATCCCACCCAAGTACTGTTGCTTACACCACCACCTGAGATAGGAAGTGAAGGAACAGAATGGCAAGCTACTACACCAAAGAATTATCAGACTGTCTTGTATAGCTGAGGAGATCCTCAGAGTTGTGTCGTGGTAATTTCAAAGCAAATTTCAAATAGGCGCAGGGGTGGCATACAAGTTTGTTTCAAAGAGAAAATGTCTTGCAGGAAATGAACTGACTCATCCCTCAAGGTCCTCTCAACGCAACGCTGTGGACCTCCTGCAACAACTGAGATAGCAAGGGATTAGTGTTCGATATGGAGTCAAGATTCCTTGCAGATAGATCACATTCGTTAATAAAACGAAAGAAGGCTACAGAGGAGAGCAGTTAGGAAAAAGCGGTTACTCTGAAGGCAAGCACATTTGGAAGAGCCTCGAGCAGCGATCAAACGCAGCGCTTCCGTTTGAATCTGGTAAACACTACTCGAAGAAGATAGCTAATAGAAGTAGAAACGGGCATCATATTGTCACCTTAGTCGGTTTCCACATTGTCTCCACAATGGCTATTCCCGTCTAAAAAGCGATCTACATACTAATTATTGATATAAATAGGTTTCACACATCAGTTACCGAGTATTTGGATCAATCTCGTAACGAAGCCCAGAACTAAGAGCTGGACAGTAATTTTTACAAGTGGCGAATGGTCAGAATGAGGGCGAGTTTTGCTGAAATTTCTTCATGCTGTTAGGTGGAACTCCTCCTACATTAACTTCTTCAAGCCTCATAGTTGCCCTCAAGAAAGTACAGTAACCCGCACGAGACATGCAGGACCCTTGAGTCATCACGCAATACAACCTACAAGGGCGAGTTTGGTGGTTTGAGTAAGATAAATGTTCAAAAGCAGAGGTTCGCATTGGTTGTTTCAGCCAGTTGCTCAAACATCTAACATTATGTGAAATTTCTAATGCTGCATTCCTTTATCGCACAAAGTCCGTTAAGAAATTGAGTAGAACCGAGTTTTTTAGTTAGAAGTGAGCTTATTAGGGGCTACTAGTGTATCCTCTACGCTTTGAACGCTTTAAAACCATCTCTGAACGATTCAACCAATGCAAAAGAACTAGCGACTAAAGAACAATGCAAAAAAGGGTAGTCTGTCAGACTCTAGTAATCTCCAACTCGTGTTTATGCATGTGTGAATTGTGCCACTTGCCACTATACCACCTGCGCCCTGAAGAATCATGACTCATGAAACCTCTCCCCAACCAGTCCATCCACTCAAACAATTGAAACGTCTCGATAGCCAAGCACCAAATTCATATGAGAGATGCTTATGTGTGTTGGACGTGAAATACGAGGGAAATTTTGGAATTTGCGACTTCCATTTTCTATTACCCTATATCATAAGGACATGTGCCATCCGCAGCTTCATTGAATCAAAGGGAAAGTAAGACCTGACCCAGTTTTTCTATGACTAACCGAAAAGCTAATCGAAAATTGGGGCAATGTGAAAACAGCAGACGTCATTACAATACTAGCCTTGGGTTTCTGAACTTGTTGAATAGTTCATAACTATATACATGGTATATTTCGCAAACTGTGGACAAACCTAATAATTACTAGGACACAGCATAAATCGAGGAACACAGCTCCTTACTCTCGGCACATTAGCCATAACATTGTCCCACTCATTGGCATCTTTTGAGGCATCGCATCCGAAGACAAACTTTTTTGCTGTCGCATAATGAAAGAAGTTTGAGCTTATCAATGGTAGTAACATAAGTTGCCACTGCCATTTAAGTGATCAGCAGGGATTCCAAAACAGAACAAAACAGGACCGTTCAGACCCCCCCGACACGGTGACAATTGAGGAGGGAAGCGAAAAGGGCAAGTTCTCTGTCGTTTGTTTCATTTCAAATCATATGAAATGTGTTCCAACCACGGACTTCGATTTTACTTACGATAAGATTTTTATCGATGACGTAATTGCACTCGAGATCATCATCGTCTTCACCGAGAGGATTTAGAAGTGCTTCAGCCACCTGAAACACATGTTCTCATTATCAACTTCCTCGACATTCTGTAGTGTGTGAATTGAACAATAGCACCGCGTAATTACAAATATTGTACGAATAACCGTACCTCATGAACAATGGATTTAAATTGGCTTTTTACTGAAATTTTTTCAGAGGTAGCCATTTTCTGCCTGCTGTCGTAAGTTACAGTAAAAAGATAGGCTCAGCAGCAGGACGAATCGGAATCTTTTCTCACAAGAGCTTGATATAGATCAGATCCCCCAAAGTTTTATTATAGAGATGAACACCATCATGACCAGTATGTGTCATTGCGATCAGGCACCCCCTTTTCTTTTCGTTACTCCCCCTTACTTATTGTTAGTACAATTCTAGCTTGAGAACAACTCATGCCCAACAATTCAGGCTATGGAAGAGTCGTGACGGGCCCATTGGTGAGATGGTGAATGTTTCTACTTGTTTTCTGATAAATACAGCAGTTCGATTTCACTGTTCTAATCTCGTTACTTGTTCCTGAATTGTTTCTACTTATATCATTTTCGGGAATTTTCTTTCTATCGAATCACTCTGCTCATGGCGATCCTACTTACTATAAAGCGCTTCGTCCGTCGTTCTGTCTGTCTGTCAGTATGTCTGTCACGAAATTCCTCAGCTCCTTTAGATCTGCCTGGAGAGACCGGATCAAGCGTGGGATGGGTGGGCCATGTAACGAGAAGTATAAAGCATCGGCCTGGTGGAGCCCCGCCCACAGTGGGCGTGACGTGCATCGAAATGAGCTGCCCCTACAGGGGTGGGGTTTGAGCAGAAAATCATAACTCCTGTCCCCGTGGACTTAGAAAGTTACAACTAGGTAGGAGTAAAGGCAACAGGATGCGAACACTTATGGAGGGTAGCAGGACCAGACTCCGCCCACAGGAGGCGGGGTTTGAGCGGAAAATCAAGAACCCGATAAAGGTCTATAATGAAAATCAGCCCATGTGGCTCCGTCCCTCAGGCTAGAGCCCCTAGCGCACGTGATAGCGTGTGTGGTCGCCTGGTTATTAACATTCCCGTTACTTGAAATCAACAGGACGACGACAATGACTGAAAACGTTACAAAATTTTCAAAAACCACTTTTCGTTTCTAAGCAAAGCGATATTTCCAAAAAACACTGTCGAGAAAATGTTGTTGAATTAAGTGTTTCACACATTTTCTGTTTTTCTATTCTACTGAAAAGATCTGCAGAAACAGCCTAAAACACAGATTCCCTCCCCCAGTGCCATTCACATTATGTGATGGAGTATTGATGACTAAGGTTATGGTTATTTGTCAACTCAAAGATGACAAGCCAGCCAAAGTGTTCTAAAAGGTAACATTTCGATTTTTATGCTCCATATTAGCGAATGCGTAATATTGTCGGCTGATACCTCAAAAGGGGTTCAGCTGGAAATCGGGATGCTTTTTGAAGGAATCGATGCTGGCCATTCATGGTAGTGAGATGTAGCCGACTCCCTATGGGTTGCACAGCCGATTTACTAACAAATAAAATGTTGGTTTTAAGCACTGAATTGAGCAGACTCACAGGCCGACCTATTTTATTTCCAAAGTGATCGAGGATATAAAATGTGATGTTTCCGAAATAAGACAGCCTCGGGAAAGTCGCAATTACGCGCTGACGCAATAGGGAATTGCCTTCGCGGAACGGAAACATTCAAGTATTGAAAATTACAAGGAAGAAAAATTGTAGTTAAGGACCACATGCTTATTTCATAATAACATAGAGAATAATCTTTTCAAATTACAACATCCCCACGCGTCCATTGGGTGCAGAGTAAATAAATAAATAAATAAATAAATGAACATATCATAAGGAATACCTTCATCCATCCCATGTACACAATAAACTGGATCATAGTGGTAATCGGAAGCCATAGATCTATCTGAAATGCATTTTACGAATATTATGCAGGACAGCAACTGTGGTATGCAATAATAGTTGTAAATAATGTAATATTGTGAAGGGAACACCGGTAAGAGGAGAAATGGACTATGAGGTCATCTAGGAAAATTAAGATCACGACTGAACGACCATTCATCGGGTAGGAGAAGATCAAGAGTGAGACACAAGTCAATAGCTCCTTGCTGGGCAGAATTTTGCCTTCTTTATTCTTTACAAGTTGGGCTATGCACGCTAATGCGCACGTCACATTAATTAATCTACATATGTATTGATCTGGATACGCAGTGCTGCGATAATGTAGTCAAAAGCAGCACTCGACATAGAAGCTACTTTACTGATTCGCTCACAGAACTTCACTCCGTAGAAAGGTAAAAGGAGCTCATTCTATCGCTGCTAACAGTTGGATGTGCTCACAATCTTCATGAGCACAGTCTCTTGGAAAAAGGCCTAGTGACTCTTTACACCTCAAGGAGAAGCAGATGCAAAAATAGGTGGGTGTTATCAATAGAACTTGTTCTCTAAAGATCTATCATTAATAGAGGCTCCCAGATTATTAGCGGTCGGTTAAGTTCTGCCATAAATGATATCAAAGCAGAGAGGAATCGTGACCCGTCATTGAATCGCAAACTTCGCTGGGTAAGAAGTGAACCGAATTTTGTAATCGGTCTCTATCGATGCACTTATCCTTCTTGTCGAATGAAACATATCAAAAAGTCAAAGTTAGATCGTAAATAACAATGGCGCTAGGTTTCAATTGGTGAGTGGATCTTCTTCTCTAGGGCCTCTTCTATTGTCAATGTTGCCATCCTGCCTCCTGCTATTGATATTGCTCTCAAAGTCCACGAGATCAGGAGTTTTCGCTCAGACATTTATCTCGCGGAAACCCCGTCCCCTGTGGGCCCAGTCCGGCCCTACTGCCCAACATAAGTGTTCGCGTACTGCCGCCTGTTCTCCTACCAAGTTTTTACGCCCTAGAGCCAAATCGAAATATTCGCGCACACCCCGCCTCCTATGGGCGGGGTCCGGTCCTC